GCTAAATGGGTTTTGATCTTCATCCAAGATCCTACTAGCATAAAAGATCACATTAAGTTTTTTATCATCCGCTATCCCAAGACAGCTCCAATAGCGTAATTGCTAGCGTCACACATAATCTCGAAGGGTTCATCCCACTTCGGAGGTTGGATGCTAGGAGCCGTGATTAAAGCATCCCTCAACTTCTCATAGGCCTGCATACAATTCTTGTCAAAAGAACATGGCACATCCTTATGCAAAAGGTCAGTCAAAGGATTTAATATTTTGGAGAAGTCTTTAATGAACCTTCTATAGAAACTAGTGTGTCTCATAAAAGTGTGCATACCTTTTACATCTTGAGGGTAAGGTAAATTTTCTATTACCTCAATTCTTTCTTGATCTATCTTGATGCTCTTCCTTGATACTATGTGCCCCAACACTACCCCCTCTATGACCATGAAGTGGCTCTTTTCCCAATTCAACACGAAACTTGTTTCTTCACATCTCTGCAAAACCTTCGTAAGAATATAGAGACAATTATCGAAGGAGGTACCTTGGACAGAAAAATTGTCCATAAACACCTCGACAATTTTCTCAACAAAGTCAGGGAAAATTCTAGAAGTGCATTTTTGAAACGATGGTGGTCTATTACATAGACCAAATGGCATCCTATGGTATGCGTATGTGTCGTACGGGCAGGTGAAGGTAGTCTTTTCTTGGTACTCGGGTCGGATAGGTATTTGCGAGAATCCAGAATATCCATTGTCGGTGTAATAATAAGACATGGGTGATTAGTACCCTAACTTATGCACAGACAGTAGTAGCCTTCCCAGCCTTCCCAATGGCGAGGGCTTGCCGGAGAATGACTCTCACCAAGATACAAGACTTATCTCACAAGCCGAAGAAGACCTCCAGGCAGGTCATAGAGAAGTACTAAGATAGTACTGAAGATCAAGCATCAAGTTGCCGGCAAGCTACATACCAGCAAGTGAAGGCCCGGCAAGATCCGTGTCGGCAAGCTCCCACTACCTCTCCACCGCTCCACCTCAGCGACCATCTAGTCGCTTGTCAATAGGTGTCGAGCGGACAGGTGGTTAGGTGAGGCTTGTCGGGGCACGTGTCAGCACGCCGCCGAAGACCAACCTTATAGCCACCCATCCCAGAGGCATGGCGAAGGAATAGGAGGTATTTGGGCGAACGACACAGAAGGAGAGACGCGTCCTTGCCGGAGCTCACCCCAGCACGACACCTCATGGTGCATTTAATGCTTTTGTCCAAATCAGGCGGGGTTAGGTATGATAGCACTATAGCCATTATTCACAGCATGCAATTATTGCCCTGCCATTGTGGTGACCCCTTGATGTATAAAAGGAGGCCCATGGCTACCTTTAGAAATGTCGACACTTTGCTCAATTACTCGTAGTAGCTGCACTTCTCGCGCACCTTGCCGGCAAGCTGCGCTCCTCTGTAACTTGAGCTCATACACGAATCAATCCACCAAAGCAGGAGTAGGGTTTTACACCTCACGGTGGCCCGAACGTGGGTAAACTATGTGTGTTGATTGATGGATCTGCTCTTTGTGTCCGCTGATCCCCACAGTCGAACCACAAAGGGGCCTTTGCCAGTCCCATAGATTGTCGTACCTTGACATCTTTGGCGCGCCAGGTAGGGGGATCGCATGCGCAAACCTGCTCCAGCAGTCTATGCGTTAGCTTCATCATCTTCACCGTCCATGGCACCCAAGAAGAAGGGTGCAGCAACGGGTGCTCCATCTACGTCCAAGCTTCCATCACGCACGCCTACGGGCGATGGCAGCAGAGGCGGCGGAGGAGGCAGAGACGATGAGCAACATCCACAATGCTCTACCGATCCTAGTCAGGCAAGTGGCGTCGTCCGGAGCGGGGCAAACAAAAACCCAGCCGCTGCAATGTCCAAGGGTTGAGTTGTGAAGCCTAGGGCGGCGTTGTGGCCTGTAAGGACGGCACACACCGACGTCCAAGAACGCCACGTCGGCGCATACCGCGACTATCACAAGATGGGCGCGACACACAGCATCGCGATGTCGGCGGCTCCGGACGTCACCACGACAAGACCCATGTGCATCATTCCTAAGATGCTCGTGGGCAACCCCACCCTTGGACAACCCTACCCTCTTCATCACCCTGAGGTTCCTCTTGATATGGCTTGCTTAAGATTAAAGAAAATGGGAACTTAATCATTTCATCTCCCCACTTCATGGAGATAGACTTCTTCTTGATGTGTGCTCCTGCAACATTCAGAAAAGAGGTTCCAAAAACAATAGGGCAATCTTTATCCTCCGAGATCATTAGCACATAAATATCAATGGTATAAATGAGTGAACCTATTATAATATTGACATCTTTAAGGATGACACATAGTTTCCTATCGGTCTTATCTACAAGCTTAATGACAACATCAGTGTGCTCAAGAGTATAAGGAGAAATCTCCCCATAGATCTTTGCATATAGAGTGTAAGGAATAATATTGACTGGAGAACTAGGGTCACATAACTCGAAATAAGACTTGCACCCGAAGGAACATGATAGGATTGTTTACCTGCATCTTTACCTTCGGTGCATCCTTTAAGATAGGAAGTGGTGTCTTTACCTAGGTAGACTTCTTTTTTCACCACTGATTAGGGTAGCAAGTTCTTCCAATCAACATAAGGTGGAGACGCGCATTGTTCCACCTTGATGCTCCTCTTTCCCTTAGCTAAGAGTGTTCCCTCTGGCTTTTTGCCACTTGGCTTACGATAAGCTTACTTTTGGTTCTCAGGTGGAGTGGTCTTTTTCACTATTTCTTCTACCATGTGGATGGCTTTAGACTCCCTGCTGTGTTTCAAGTACTTTTTCTCTGGCAAATTCAACAACTTAGAAAAGTTTTTCAAAACATGCAACATGGGGTCAGTTCCAATATTTAGCTCACTGCGGAAGTCTTTTACCTTTGTAGTTCTAAGGAAAGACTTAATAATATCATAAACAGGATCAACTTTACTCTTTCCTTTGAACAAAGCTGCTAATCTTCCTTCTTATCGTGTATAATTTCCCTTGAGGATAATAATGAGCATAGAATGCAGCCAATAATTCTGGCCAGTTTCTCAAGACATTCACAGGCTGGCGTTCTAACCATCTGGCAGCTCATCCATCTAATGAATAAGGAAATATTTTTGCCATTATCTCTTCATTAGTCAAGTCCTACAACTGAAAAGTTCCACACGCAATGTTAATTTTTTTAATATGCATATATGGGCATTCAGTTGCATCACCTCGGAATATATTCCCTTTCAGCATATCAATTAACCGAGGGTTTATCTCATATGCTTTGCCAAGTAGGTCAGGACCAAATGATATAACATTCTCTCTTCTAGACGGTCTCGCCACCAATTCCACTCCTACCTAACAAATTTGTTCTTAAAGGACCATGGCTGCTTTCTATCTGCAAAAACCATTAGGACACAAAATAATTCAAAACTTAAGGCCTGCTGATAATTACTTCGAAATGGCCTGCAAGTGCATAGGCTTTAGTTGTAGCCTTTTCGAAGTAAAAGTATCAATCCCACAGGGAACACAGGAATCAGCCTTTTGCCTCTTGTAGAGAATTATTTATTTTTGTGCCTGCAGATAATTGTAGACTTAAAGCAGAGTGAGGGTGGATATGAATGATAATTGAGTAGTGGAGTGACTTATAACAAAATAACATAAAAGTAAATTAAGGGAAAGGATTGTAGTGACGGATGAAATAGCAGAATGGAAAGGTGTTCTCAAGGAGTCCGGAATCCTCATTGGTATGTTTCCAGCGCACCCATGCATATGCAATTTTTGAATTTGGTATTGTTCTGTCTAAAACATAATTTTATTCTTGTTAAACAGCAAAATTAAATGCACCATGTTATTCCATGCGTTTTTGTAGTCCATGTACATATATAATTTATTCAATTCGGAGCTACGGTTTAAAAGTTATCTCGGGTTGTTATACACCAACTTTGTTGCAATCTGTTGGAAGGCAACGAGAAGTGAAAATCGAGGAATAATGAGGCTCCTCCCAAAAGTGAAAATTGGAGTACTCATCTATGAAGATGAACAGCAGTGAAAAAGATAACGGTGATGGTGAGAAAAGGGTGCCTAGAAGTCCCACTGTGGTGTCTAGCATGGGACATCCCGACGAGAGGACCGAAGGAGATGCTAGAGATAAGGAGGTAGAGGCGATTAAAAAAAACCAACGACTTGGTGAGATCGAGGTAGACTCCAGGTTGAGGCATGGTTGGCGCAAGACTGGTTCGCCGGGGAGAACCAATTCATCATATAATGGATCCAATGGCAAGAGCATTTTGAGAGGAGACAGGGATAGTGATCCTACATCCTGGGGCCGCAAACGCAGGAGAGGACGGCACACACGCCAGCGCGACGTGTGTACACGTCACATGTCGGTTTAATACTATAGTTGATGCAACTTGCTAAAAATATGTGCATGATTGTTTAAAAGTTATGTGAATAATTGTTTGATGTCACAAACTTGGATTTTAATGGCAATTGAAGTATTTTAATTTGAATGAGGAAAACAAAAAGAGATGAAGTTGAGACGTGGGACTAGGTTTGCACGTCACCTGGCCAGCCTCCAAAACATTATGCAATGCAGCGCACCCTATGAGTACCTTTGATAGCCGCATTGCCAACACCTCTGATAATGATGATCTATTACCCTTCTTAGTAAGTTAATTAGGGCCTGTTCGGACTCCCTCCCGCTCTCCAACTCCGCTCCGGAGCGGAGCAACATGCAGTGTTAATTTGAGGAGCTGCTAATATGGTACTCCACCCGCTCCGCTCCTGAATGGAGGAGTGGAGGGCTACCGAACACAGCCTTAATAGCCTTAAATTGAGATACCTACATGCAGCCCACAAGTTTCTGCCTAACTAGCCACCCTTAATATGTATTGTTACATGTATGCAAAACTATAATCCAGTTCGGTGCTCATAAACTATGTCCACAGCAACCCATAGCTCTCATTCTTCTTCCTCCGTCTCCTCATCGTCATCGTCGCCGCTAGCAGCTCTGTATCTCAATCCCCCCTCCTCAAGGTTATCTCCCTCTTCCTCAGTCTCCTCACTATCATCTTCGTACAACACCTTCATTGGCAACTGAAGCTCCTCGGGGATACTGACAACTGGAGATGGCACCGTATAACCACTGCGCTTAGGGATCTTGGCGAGTGGCATGCTGGTTGTGAGGTTTGGCTTGCTTCTACGGGAATTCTTCGACACTGTGCCCCTCGACGGACCAGCTTGAGCACCAGCATCCAAATAGTGGTTGGGGTGCTCTTTCTTCAGATGGAGGTTAAGCTTGTACTCGTGAATGTATGCCTTGGCACACCCATCGTAAGGGCAGACATACGGACGATCAGCTGATGGAACTGGTGGTGTTACCGGAGATTTCGCTGTGTTATGAGGGTGATCTCCTAGTGCATTGCGGTTCATTACAGGCCCACCTGGATTCTGTGCACCAGACTGTAGTCTTGTGAGTATAGGTTATGTGACAAGTTGCAACTGACAAATATCTCTATACATCTTACCTTCTCATGTTGTGCCCTGAAATGAGCCCTTAGTTTAGATTCCTGTGTAAATCTTCGACCACATTCTGGGTATGGACACATATGATAGTTATCCGCAAAATGGGTTTTCATGTGTGCCTTCAAATTAAAATCCAATGAGAAAGCCTGCAATAACCAGGAATAAAAGCAGATTAAATCCATGAGTTCCCAAATCCACGATTATGACGAGAGAATACCAATTTGCTGCATTGCACTTATCCATCAGTTACAAAGTAAAGCCCACCCGGTGCATCCTACTAAGCTAACATAATTTCTCAAAAATTCGTGAAGAAATCTCTTGCTGGTAACTGACACCCCAGAATGAGCATGTTAACATTTGTGTACACCATTATTTGAATTTTTTTAAATTATAGTCCCTTGGCATGGAGAATTCTTGGATTGCAGAAAATACTGGGGCGGGTTCATGTCCAGGTAGTGATTTCTCTCTCGTGTGCATGTGAAATTCATATGATGTACAGAAAAATGTGCTTGCTGGATAGAAATCAAAAACATCATCCAGATGTAACCAATAGAATGATTGAAATGCCAAAGCCCTAGAACAAGAAATAGAACTAAAACAGAAACCAAGGATGGAGCTTGTCTATATTTAATTAACATAAATAACATTTCTCCGTAATTAAATATTTCTGGTAACTTGTTCAAATGTACAAATTATATATGATTAAAAACCAAAATTATGTACAGAAAAGGATAACAAGTACATGGAGAAAGCATGGTAATAACCTTGCCACAACCTTCATGAGGGCAGACGAAGTTCTTCTCGCCTGTATGAATAAGAAAATGCCTCTTCAACTTAGAGCTATCTAAAAATTTCTACAAAACGGATTCAGCAGAAAAAATTAGATAAGCAACTCAGTATAAAAAATGTCACTGCCATATGGAAATGGCTTTGCGATGTAGGCAAGACATGGATGACACAATACCTTCCCACATCCCTCATAGTGACAGACATACTGCCTCTCCCCATGCACATGGGCATGTTTCCTAAGAGCACCTGCATCAACAAAAGTTTTCCCACAGCCATCATAGCTGCATAAGAAAAGAACCTCGGTGGCAGGGTCAGGCTTTGCAGTGCATGCCCCTTCTTTCTTGTCCTTGGACTTAAGAGCAGCCAACCTGTCCTCTATGAGGGAATGAAGATAAAAATATTAGCTGAATGAGCTAAACTAAAACGCAAACATGACAAGAAGAAAATCCAACTAGTTTGTCCTTATTGCTACATTGCACCTGACTTCTAAATTGGTCTGATGTTGTACACAAAGAAGAGGTGTAAAACGAATGCAATACTTTTGTTGTGGACATGGGTCCACAGTACCAACATAAAGCAAGCATGGGAGGAGTCCATGACAGAGAAGTACTTCTTCCGCCCGGGATTGAAGGACCTGTGAGCCACGGTAAGCCGTTTGAATTTATAAGGCTGCAGTAATTAGAAGTATTTCGACTCGATTCCCCTCCAGTTTGCTGTGTTAATTACGACTGGCAGCATGCAGTCACTAAAAGCACTCCTCCAGTCAATATGCCCAACCAAGCATGCAACCTATTACAGCTAACGGCATGCATGCAGCCAATTAAATTGCCACAATTAATTAAGCTGAGGCGTGTGCATGCAGTTCGCTACAGCTGCACCTTGGTCTTGCCGTTTTGGCCCCTGAGACCTATAAAGTATAAACCCGGACGGAGGAAGTAGAGTCCATTGGGAGAGCATAGGGGCAGGAAAGAGTGCAATTGCATAAGGAAAGATCTATGTCTAATCGTGTTAGGAGAGGTCAAAGGCTTGATCATCCGTTATATAAGGATGACACATATCCATGTTTGAGGCAAGCAAGAACAATCAATCTAATCTCTCCCAGTTATTCTCTTGTCTCAACCTATGTCTACCCAATCCCTCACAGCCACACGGTCTGGCTATCTTCAACACGGTAGTTATCCCGTTGCAAATCAAGGTTGACATCATTTGGTATCAGAGACAGCCACCATGGCTTTCAATGCCGACCCTTTCATGGAAGAGTTCAACGCCTCAATCCAATCTATCTTTGACAAATTCAAGATTCGTATATGCTTGAGATCAAGGCAGCAAAGTAAAGGAGGGCAGCAATGGCTTCAGCGACAAACATGGCAAGCATGGCAGCAATATCATCACTGCAGCCTGAAGTCGGCGTAGCAACGGCGGTTTGCAAGAAGCTATAGAGGCGCACGAAGAGCAGCAAGCAGCAGTTACGAGACATCCGGATGCAGAAGCTACAGATGCAGATAGAGGAGTGACATAGGAGCAACAAGGCACAGCAGCATTGCTAGCGACAGTGGCGACACAACCATGAATAACAGCATCAACAAAATCATCTTCAGTAGAACGGCTGAGGCAGGCTAGAAAAGGGTCAATTGCTGAGCATGGACCTAGCATTGGAGTTGTCCACGAAATTGATCTGGGCCATCCAAAATCATCTTCAGTGGAACGGTTGAGGCAGGCTAGAAAAGGGTCAATTGCTGAGCATGGACCTAGCATTGGAGTTGTCCACGAAATTGATCTGGGCCATCATGCATGTGTGGACGTTGGCTCAAGCAAAGGTTTAGTTCTGTGTGCATGTGTGCATACAGGAAGAGATAATTTGGTGCATAGAATATGTAGAAGTTATATTTCAGATTGGAAAGAAAAGCACGAGAATTATTATGCGCGCATGAGAACAAATAAAATGGGATTCGTATTGGCTCCAGCTGTTGCATTTTCCATAAAACAGAAAATAGCCTTGGTTGGTTTGTATGGCGTCCACCAGAAGAACGTGACCAAGGGGGTGTCAAAGGAATATGTGACCAACAGGACATGGAAAGAATTCATTGCCAACTGAATGTCAGCGACATAATAAGGGACGTTCCAAATTTCATGGAGAGGATCTCAAAGAAGTATCAGGGTTACCTAGAGATATACAAGTTGTACCTGAGAGAATTAGGCAAGAGGTCTGGCAAAACGTAGAGCTGCAGTCACAGTATCACTATCACATTGATGCGGGGCTATGAAGGAATTCAGCCCTCGCCAACAACAAGCAGCTTGAGGACAAGCTGCTTGTCCAGGAGGGGTGTAATGTTACGGACAAAGGGTTCACAGTATCAAGGCAAGAGTACCAGCGTGGAAGGAGTCCATGAAAGTGAAGTATCCTAAGAGTACACTAGGAAAGTATAGGATTAGGAAAGAGTCCAATCGTACAAGGAAAAATTTAAGCCTTATTAGGAGAGGTCAAGGACCTGAGCATCCGTTATATAAGGATGGCATGCATCTACGTTTGAGGCAAGGAAGAACAATCAATCTAATCTCTACGAATTATTATCTTGTCTCAACCTATTACCCAATCCCACGACGTCTGGCTATCTTCAGCACGGTAGTTAACCCCTTGTGAATCAAGGTTCACAACAATTGCCCACACGGAACACTTGAAATTTAACATATATCCTTTGACATGTTCATCGCAATCTCCATCTGAAATCTCAACTTCTGCTATTTGCTTTGAGAGAACACATCACTAGACTAATGATTTATTGGTACATTGCATGTAACTCCTAAATTGTCCGGAAGTTGTTAACAAAGAACAGGTGTAAAAGCATTGCAACATTGTCCACACCAAACACTTGAAATTTAACATAAATCTTTTGACATGTCGATCACAATCTACATATGAAATCTCAAATTCTGCTATTTGCTTTGCGAGAACTCATCACTAGATTAATGGGTTTATTGGTTCTCAAGTCTGTACAGATTAAACAGAAACTTCACAATCCCCATGAATCTCCAATTGTAGAATGTTTGCAGTAGACTAAATCAGAAAAAGAGCAGACTACTACTTGATGCAATTGGTACAACATATGCTTGTCGTAATGATATTTCAATAATGTAGAGAATTACAAGGTTAGAGTTGTGGAGAGAGACATTCGAAACTAATGTTTTTAGGCTTAGTAGAACTAAAATCAAGTACATGAGGTGCGGTTTCAGTACTACTAGGCATGAGGAGCCTTGCTGGGCAGCTGGTACCTCAGAAGGACACCTTTCAATATTTGAGGTCAATGCTGCAGAAGGATGATGATATCGATGAAGATATGAGCCATTGAATCAAAGCTTGATAGATGAAGTGGCACCAAGCTTCTGGCGTTCTCGGTGACAAGAGTGCCACAAAAGTTATAAGGCAGGTCTATAGAACGGCGATTCGACCTGCGATGTTGTATGGCGCTGAATGTTGGCCAACTAAAGGGCAACATGTCCAAAGTTAGGTGTAGCAGAGATGCACATGTTGAGATGGATATGTGGCCACACAAGAAAGGATCGGGTCAGTGCAACGTGTGGCAGTACAACATGCAGGGCATCGACAGTAGTCGATGAGTGGCCGTCTTTTCAGCACGGGCAGGGCATCCTGTGTGCTCTTGTAAGGCCTCCAGGGCTAACTTCTCATTGTGTGGGACACGCCGGACCTGGCCTACACAGAGGGGGAGGCAATGCCCCAGTGCTGCAAGGATGGCTTCAACAGTGGTGTGTGGCCGCACCATTGTTGGGCCGTGTTCACGAATCATGACAAACATTTCCACTGGCCAGCCACGTGTCGGAAGATGATAAGCATTTAGGCCAGTTGCATTTCTAGTAGTGTGTATGTTATACTTGCCTCTAGCGGTCGTTAGTTGCTATCTTGCTGGAGCGGTGTTAGGTTGTAATGGCCCAACCTTAAGCTTTCTCGAAAGTTAGGCTAGCTTGCACCTGTGACTAATGAAACCAAAGCCTCTATCTAATAAACACCCGGTGGAATTTAAGCAACGGAAACCACAATAACAACCAAAGAAAGATAATGTCAAGCAGCAATTGCAGGCACGATGACACTAAGCAACATGTGATGGAGCCGTGACACAACAGTAAGTCAAAGTAAGAATTTACAGCAGCAAGAAGAAGGCGACGTACCTCGCACCCACTTGTAAAGCGCGCACGGGCCGCCGGCGATGACGAGGTCCTGCGGAACCCTAGGAGAAGGACGCGGCGCAAATAGTTCAGATCCAAACCACATGAAGCGGAGTGGAATTCGAGGGGTGGTAGGGGTTGGGAGACAAACCACTCCTTGATCCATCGGTAGCGGCGGTGGAGTCCCTGCATCGCGTCTCCCCGCGGCCGCGGGGCGGAAGGCGATGACGGCGTACGGATGATTGTTGCAAGGGAAGATTCGGATTTGGTCTTGGGGCTGGGGCTGGGGCTGGCGGCGACTTATGTTTACCGGGCTACGGGTGGGTACAGACAGGGAGGGAGGCTCGGAGTCGGATGGCATGGTGGATGAGGAGCAGCATGTCGTGCTGCGAGGAAATCTATGGCTACGCCTCGCGGCCGCGGCTGCTCCGTTCCCATCATCATCTCATCACAAGACCAAAGGCAAATGAAACAGGTCCCTGGCGTTGTTTCCGGTTGTGGGGGCGTCTAGATGGCCGAATGGGTGCCGGGAAGGAAGAGATTAACACGTGTGTACGAAGTGATTTCAATGCGATTACATACAAAATAAGTAAACTACCCTCTAAAATATGTCCATATACATCTATATATAGTCCTTATTGAAATCCTAAAAGAACTTATATTTAAAAACGGAAGGAATATTTTTTTAGGTTTTTATCATTTATGGCCACTACTCGGTTTTACCATTACAACTTACAACGACTGAAAAATGTCATCGTTTTGGGAGATGCTTGCTAAAAAATGTCATTAGATATCTAAAAAAAATTCATAATTCCATGAAATGATTAAATGACATTAGACATCATTATTATCAAGTCAAACCCGTTGACCATATTATATGATAAAAATTCCCCTGGTTCCACATGTTAGCTCTCTCTATCTCACAATGGTAAGTATAGCTCCACTTGTCACGAGTAAGCAAGCGAATAATTTTAGAGGAAAATAAGAAGGCCATTGGGATCAAGTGGGACCCACACTTTATTGTAGTGAGATAGAGGAAGAGCTTACATGTTGGTCCATAAGTATTTAGATACATTATAACCGAGCACTTTTCCAGCCCTCTTACACCATTAGCGTTTATATCCGTTGGATCATTGATTTTGAGCATTTTTGGCCGTCAGATTTGCTGTGAATCGTTACTAATCACCCGCTATCAAATGATCGCTCCCGTCCTGGGCCACTGCTCTGGTGGCTTTTTTGGGCGTCTCGGGTTAATTGGGCCTAATGAGCCCGTTGCAGCCTCCGCTACGTGGTGAAGCCATCGCTCGCCTCCCATCCTTCCCCTCGCGTGGCGGCTCTTCCCATGGTCGGCCGACCTGGGTCGCGATTAAAGTCGGAGCTACGGATCCCATGGCGACCGCACTGGGTTCGGACAGGGCCTCATCGGGCGACGGCGCGGGGTCACCTCGATTGCCTCGTCCGGTTCAGTTGCACGAAGCGACGGGATCGTGTGTGGTGAAAGGCCGATAGATCAATACAATCTCCGACAAAGGGAATGGGAAGCGGTGGTGTGGCTGTTCAGCGCGAGAGACGCCCCGCCGCGACTCGCTATTGCAGCATTGGTAGAATCAGCGTCTTGCGCTTCTACTTTCCCTCCACGCCGTGTGTCTTCCCCGGCAGGTACAGCTCGCCCCTCTCTTATGCAGATGCCTACAGTTTTGAGGAAGGTCTCGTATCCTGATTTCAGTTTGACAACCCCTCCGTCCATGCATTTGAGACCATGTATGGTGTCCTTATTCCAGTTTGATGGCCAGCCGTTGATGCATTTGACAGCCGCCAGCAGGGAGAAAGACAACGGCTAAGGTGTATCGCAGAACTCTGCCATGCCCACCTAATTCCAGTTCATGACCAAGGCTGCTAACACCGATTCTGACTTTAACAACGACCAAGCGTTAGGATTATCCCTCCGTTTATACCAATTTTTGCAGTCGTTGTGTTCGTTGCCCGGTGATCAGTTAGCATCCATGTTTCCCTTCCTCTTTCATGTCAGATGTAAGATTTTTTTGGTACAAGGTATTGTGGTTGAGTTTCTAAATTACAATACTAATTTTCAGGTCAGTTATGCAACTGTTTTTTTAATACCGTGCAGATTCAGTTTCCAATATGGGGATTCTTATGTGAATATTTGATTTTCAATTCATGTAATTGGGAGGGTTCCTGGTTGTATTACCATTTCTATCTGCAAATACATCCAATTTCTAAGCAGCAGATGCACATAGTCCAAGCCAAGGAATGAAGCTTAGTGTTCTTCACGTGTGCAGGCTCCTTCGGCCATGGACGAAGTGGACAAGGTAATTCAGTCAACTTTCTTCCAGTTTGGTATATGTTAGTCATGTATGATAACATTAGTGTTGATGCCATCACCACCCTCACGGGCATGGGTCCAAGCAAGCGCCAGAGGTGTGGTGACTCTTCCAACATGCAATCCATGTTTTCGGTCGTCGGATTTGCTCTAATAGGCATCTGTAGCCGTTGGATCTATTTCTCTTAATGTCACATGAGCTTCAATGACGAACAGAGGTGTCGTTTGATTAGCTGCACCCTGCTCTCACTGAAGTTTGTACATGGCTCCTGGGAGGTTAGCTTTGTTTGTTCCCTGCAATTATTTATTTTTGTTCCTTCCAAGAAATATGCTTAGTCCGTTGCACTTTAGAGTGCAGAGTATAGAAGTAAGCCATTAGGGATGTCTTCACATCAAGGACATTTGGAATTTGATATCCAGTCAGGCATATCGGATTTTATAAATCGACAAGGCCACAATGTTAGATAAAGGTATAATGTGCCCTGCGATTTTGCATACTCCAGTTTGAAATCACATTTTCTGTATGGTCTCTTACTTTTTTTTGCACTACCTATTGTGCCATAAATTCCTTGAGCGCGACCTTATGGACAATCTCGATAGCAACAATGATATCACTGTTATGAAAGGAAGCGAACACCCTCATTTTTCTTGAATTCTTCGGTCTGTAATCTGCAAAATCACCGTATGCTTTTATTATTTTTATGAGCTATTGGTCTTTGTTCAAATTTATATTGCACGCGCTTGTTGTGGAATAAATGGTAGTTTTCATTCTTTGTGATTGGACGAGCACCAGATATCTGAATAATTATGCCAAAAAAGTGACAAAGATGCATACACCATTAATTAGTTGACTTCGGCTATGATAGCATATGAACAGTTCATGAAAGGAACATAGACAAGCAGTTGATTAGAAAATAATTTTATATTAAGATAATGGTATTTTAAATGTACAACCAGCAATATATTGAAGTGCTGCAGCTGGGAAATGAATCTCCATATTCATTGATGTTTCTAAAGGTAAAAAAGAAGAAGAGAAATACAGAATATACCTAAATGTGACATGCATAGTATACCTGCTGCACGTTTGTAACATTTGTTCGATCCTGATTTGGCTCTCCATGCTATTCAACAGAAATTGTTGGGAACCATCACCTTGGTCACTAAAATTATGACATGTCTATTCCATTAAATCAACCTGTGTCGTGATGTTGTACATCAGTTACGCCTATACATTGTTTGCACATTTAGAACAGATTGTCCATATATTTAGTAAAATTGTTCCTCCTTAAAGCCTGCTCATATGTGATAACAACCAAGTAATTGGTCATTTCACCCATTTGTGCCTGAGCTTGTGTTATATATGCCGCCAATCGTGTTAGGTAATTCAAACATTGTTGTTTTTTTCTCGCTCTTTACAAAATCAAAACTATGAAGGCCAGAGCATTGGTTACATTGTTTTCATTTAAATTTCTAATAATAAACAACACAAGTTTCCACAAAAAACACAACAAAGGTTGGTGATAAATCATGTATGATAATACTTTAACGGCAATCAATTACGAATTATATATTCATATATTTTTATGGGTTCAAACCATACTATTGGCAAAATGGACCAGCGCAGCAACGCGCGCCGGCATGATCTAGTTTTAGTCATTATAACACGGTAAACAAGATTTGAGGTGACAGTAATGGTGTCAAGTGCCATTTAAGAGCATGGACCTAATGAAGTGATGTCACTTTTGAGCAGTTTAAATTCCTAGTGGCAAAACTGAGTAGTGGGACATAATCAGTGACATAAATGATAAAAACCTCTTTTTAACATAGTATAGATGGCCACATACACACCCATACACTCGTCTTTTTAAACACACGCACGCACTACATTTATGAGCACCTCCGAGATACTGAGCTGGCACAACATCTTGAGATCGAGGAAGCCACCATAATCCCACCTCCATTGAATGAATATTGCCGAAAAGTCTAAACTAAATCCAAGAAAATGTGATCATCAATGTCAGGTCTAGGATGAACCCTGGTGAGCTGGTTCCACCACAAGGAACCTAACCATCGTGTGTATTGGTTTATAATTTAGTTATCTTAGGTAAACGTTGCAGGTCGGATGACTGGCCACGTTCTCCATCGGTCACACGTGAGCCCTTCAATCGTTACCATTGTATGACGCATGAGTACCACGCAGGCTGATGGGGGCACACGCACTGCTCAAGTGCCCACCTTATCTTTTCACGCGTACGCCTCCCCTCCACTCATCTTCTCATGTGCGGGACACAAGCCTTTTCCATCCTCTTTCTTCGCCAATCATCCAAACGAGTCATGGTTGCATCGCCCGACTCACGGTCCCGCCACCGTTGTGAGCCATTATGAGCTCGCTCATCCACCACCGCCTGCACCCCCTTCCCCCACCTCCTACCTGGTGCCCAACCTTTATCCCCATCTGGTTCCAGCAATCTTCCAGTTGCAACACCACCATTTTTGTCGATCGCAGCAAAATCCATCGTCGGCACCTTACACAGGATGGGGATACTGCTGACACCACTCTGCCCCTCGCCAACAGAGTTCCACGAAGTCATACCAAGGAAGAAGGCAGAACCCCTGGGACAGATCACACTGTCATTTTTGGTGCCCTGCCAAACTATAAATGCCAGCTCCTTTGTTTTGAGGTCATCCCTTCCAAGAAGGATATGACGCAGTCCTTGGGAGGACAACACTCACCAAATTCATGGTGATCCCCTGCTACGCTTATATGAAACTAAAAATGTTGGGGCCTTATGGAATCATCACAACCAACATTGCCCCGCACCACTCCTGTGAGGCGGAGGATGGCAGACTCATCCAGGTTGAAGCACAACTTGACGAAAGGAGGGAGAGGACAGCCGAAGGGGAGGTCGTCCAGCATCTGGAGAGAAGGCCCAACAGGTCCCTGCGGCATGCAGGCTGTGCACCCCTTGGTAGTAGCAACCAGCCACCCCTGACAAAGAGCCAAGAATGGGGGCAACACG